TCCAGCTTGTGCTTTGAAATCTGTCGTGTTCTGAGCACAGCAGAGGTCATGGACATCTGTGGTGGTTTTAAAGGTTTTCCTATAATTAAAGATGTCTTTTCTGATTCAGTCCTGTTGCTGTTTTCCAGAATTTCTATACAGGAACCATCCCCTTCTCCCCAACACCCTGCCCTGTGTGTCTAATCACTGGTACTGTCACTTTGTTCAGTATGCACTGTCTTAAAATCTACATACATAAAATGGCAAGATATTGGATATGTGAAGAATGTGGTCAATAAAAATATTTGGGAAAAACTTAGTTCTGTTGTTTTTAAAAGTCATCAAGTTCATTCAATATTTACATATTTCATAATTACAGATGTTTTTCAGTTTTAAAAGATTGTGACAGCGCGCATACACAAGCGGGGTGTGAGGGGCCGAGGGAGAAGCAGGCTCCTCGCTAAAGTAAGGAGCCTGATGTGGGGCTTGAGCCCAGGACCCCGGGATCATGACCTGAGCCAAAGGCAGGCACTTAACTAAGCCACCCAGGAGCCCAGAGTGATGGAGGGGGAATCATGTTAAAGATTACAGATCAATAAATGGTAGGGCCCAGTTGTGACAACTGCCACTTTGAGCTGCCTCTCTTCATTGTGGTCATTATTTGTTGCCTGACTACTTTTGCAGTTGGCCTCTTAAAACTTGTGAATGGCGGGGCACCTGGGTGGCTCAGTGGGTTAAAGCCTCTGCCTTCGGCTCAGGTCGTGATCCCGGAGTCCTGGGATTGAGCCCCACATAGGGCTCTCTGCTCGGCAGGGAGCCTGCTTCCTCCTGTCTCTCTCTGCCTGCCTACTTGTGGTCTCTGTCTGTCAAATAAATAAATAAAATCTTTAAAAAAAAAACAAAAACTTGTGAATGGCTGTTTCTAGAAATGTACTCAGCTCTTCCCCTAATGGGTAGAAATGGACTTCCTTTTCTAATGAGAGTTGGGAAATACGTTGGTGGAAAAGTGTCCCTTTTCAGACAAGACTGGGGGAAACTGATTTTGAAGCAAGATTCATTGCTTTCATTCCTCCAAGGAATCTCATAATAGAAACCTATTATGAGTAGGATTTGACATCAGAACATTCTTCCCATAGAAGCATCATCATACTAACAGCTAAGAAGTCTTCTAATCTCCCCTGCTCTGGCTCTAGCCACCTGCTTCTGCAGGGCCAGAGGACAGGGAAGGGTGCAGTTCCTCCAGAAATTAGATGAGTCCCTTTCTGTTTCTTGGACCTAGTGAGTATTTGGCACCAGGGCAGAACCATGGTGTGGCAGTTTTCCTTAATGAATTTAATGATGTTGAGGGTCTTGACCCTTTAGGCTCAGCTTGCATTTGGACTCCAATGAATGAAGTTCATGAAACTTAAAACTGGAATACCAGTTTGTAACTATACTGCGAGAAATCACATGGGTTGGTAAATAACACCATGAGAAATCAATGAGGTTGGCAACGATTGCTCTGTACAAGACCAGTTTATGGTATGATGAGAAGGAGGAATTTCTTCTAGACCGCATCAACATCACATGCCAGGTACCGCACTGTACTGTTCACAAGATAGGCTTGTGAACAAAACCAAAAGCATCTTCTTCCATATGCACACTCATGTGGAATCAGAAGGAGGGGACTTAACTGAATGATGACATAACTGAGACAAGCTCAGGCATCATCTCAGTTTTAGGAATGTCCTCCTGTGGAAGCAACACTAGAAGTTACTCTTCCCCTGAGAGACGCTTGACTGGGCAGTGTCTCCTTCACAGCACTTAGGGATACCTTCAGTGTTCAGCTACACTAAGTACAAATATTGGCCTCTTCCCCAGTCAGACTCCTTCAGGAAGCTATGCATGCTATTTGTAAGTACCCACGAATGAGTGTGTAATCCCTGCCCATACACTTAGAAAGGTAATTGGTGAGGGGTTCCTTGGTTGTTCAGTCAGTTAAGCATCCAGACTTGATTTTGGCTCAGGGTGGTGAGACTGCACTGAGCTTGGATCTTGCTTAAGATTTTCTCCCACTCCCCAACTCTTTTTCTCTCTCTCAAAAAAAAAAAAAAAAAATGGAATGATCAAAGAGATTGGTGCGAATGCACTCCTGCTTTTTCCCCAGCTCAGGACATGTTCAGTGATCACACTGAATCTCTTCTGAGGTACTCTTCGCCTGAAGCGGGAGGTCCCTACTGCTGAGCTGGGTGTGTGTTAAGCTGCCACAGAATTCAGTCAATGCCAACAAGCTCAGTTAGCCCTGTTTGTTATAACTACGTGACATTTTTACTATCATGAGGTTTTCCATTTAGGAAAATTACTACCCGCTCATCTAGGATTGTGCTGTGATATTTTCCATCAAAGACCTCAATATTTTACTTCTCTCCACTTCAGGGTTCCCTTGGTATCGAAGTTAGGAGTTTTCCCAAGACTGGCAACTGTGTTATTCGATAGCTATGATCTTATTGTAATATATATATTTTTAAATTTTATTTATTCATGAGAAAGAGGCAGAGGCAAAGGGATAAACAGGCTCCGCAAGGAGCAGGGAGCCCAACGTGGGACTCGATCCCAGGATCCCGGGATCATGACCTGAGCCAAAGGCAGACACTCAACCATCTGACCCACTCAGGCACCTTTATTGTAATATTCTTAAGTTCTCACCTGTTTTTGTGCATTTACTTCATATACTTCTACAACTTTAATGCACACCTTTGCTCGAAACAGTATGTATAATCACACCATTGCATAGGATGGAAAATGAGAAGTAGCCTTTGATGTCTTTTTCTTAATACCAAAGATCTAATCACTTAACCAAATTCAATAGATTTTATTTTCTATGTGTCCTTGAATCTGTTCACTTGTCTTTATCTCTTCTATCCATCCCCTACTTAGATACGTTTTAAAAACTAGGTTAAGAATATGAAAGATTAGTTACCTTGGTCTTCCAGTACCCAAAGGCTTGATAAACTTTAAGAGGAGCTCTCAAAATTTTAGAATCTCTGAATTCAGTTAGTCTTCTGGTTATGGTTGCAAACTAGACTGTAGAGTCACACCACCAGTGAAGAAGGCAGAAGGCAAGCTGGAGGGAAGTTTCCTTCTACCGGCTTGTGCATTGCTTTTGCCCTTCGCCTGTTTGATCACTGCCAGTCCTTAGAGGGAACTAGGTGTGTGCTATATGAGTGTTGTGTCCTCTGTTGATTTCTTGGAAAATCTAGAGAAAAATGAGTGATGGGATAGGGCTAAAGGCTAAAATGCTCAGCCAGCCAAGGTGTTTGACTAAGAATTACAATGGGCCACAGAGATTGTGTATTTTTTTTTTTTAAGATTTTTTAAAAAAATTTATTTGACAGAGATCACAAGTAGGCAGAGAGACAGGCAGAGAGACTGGGGAAGCAGGCTGCCTGCTGAGCAGAGAGCTGGATGCAGGGCTCAATCCCAGGACCCTGAGATCATGACCAGAGCGGAAGGCAGAGGTTTAACCCACTGAGCCACCTAAGTACCCCTGTGTGTGTGTATTTTTTAAAAAAGATTTACTTATTTTAGAGACCGGGATGGGGGAGGGGAGGGACAGAGGGAGAGAATCTTCAAGCAGGAGCCCCCCCTCCCCACCACTGCAGAGCTCACTGGGGGCTCTATGCCACCACCCATGAGATCATGGCCCAAGCCAAAACCAAGAGCTAGATGCTTAACTGATTTTCAACACTTACGTCATATTTTTCATTGCTATTATCCTGAAAACCAGAAACCAGAGACCAAATCCATCAGCACAGGAGAACTGTCCAGTTGATTTTCAAAACACCACATAGTTTGGGCCAGGCACCGTGCTTGGTACTAGGGAATAGGAAAGTTGGAGAATATAGTTATCTTCCCTTCTAAAATTTATTTGACAGACTGGAATCATCTAGACACTGGGATTCCACCTGCACTCTTTGGCATTAAGGCTCCTTTTTAAATTTTTTATTTTTTTTAAGGTACTGAGTGGTATTAGGGAATTTGTTCATAATATTGCTAGGATTCTAAAAAGTTGTATTTTATTTATTAGAGAGTAAATCAGCAGGAGCAGGGGGAAGAGGGAGAAGCAGACTATCCCTGAGCAGGGATCCCGATGTGGGGCTAGATCCCTGGACCCTGAGATCACAACCTCAGCCCAAGGCAGATGCTTAACCCACTGAGCGCCCCAAGGCTCCCTATTAATAGAAAATGACCCCCGGTGACGGTAAGGGGCAGGACTTCAGCTCCTCCATGCTAGTGCGTTTATGCCGTTCTTTCCTGAGAACAGCTTTTTGGGAAGCCCAACTATTTTATTCCGGTTGGCTCCTCCTAAAGCGCAACCATCTTCCCTGCCTCCACCCAAAACCAGCCTCGACCTACAAATGCCTTCAGGGCGCTGGGTGGGGTGGGGATGGGGGCGGGGTGGTGCGGGTAGTAGGTGCCCAAGGAAGCCTTCACCAAGAGGTCAAGGGCAGGGGCAGCATCCGCAAGGAAGCCTCAACAGATGGGAAAACAGAGCTTTTGGTTAAGTTCACTTTGAATTTGGCTTTTTTTTTTTTTTGTAAAAATAGGAAAAACAAAAAAGTGGGAGAGAGCGATGGGCAAACAAATCTCTTACAGCCTGCTAGCTCCAATCTGGTGGCTGGCGCCTTCCGCCGGTAGCCGCGAAGGTCGTCCCCGGGGGAGGAGGGAGAGCGACCCCGGCCCCACTGGCGCCTGCGCACTGGCGACGACCTGGGGCGGAAGCGCCGGCATCTACACTCTTGCGCATTCCGTGAGAACCGCCCGATTAAATATGTTTGTTTTCTATGGCTGCTGAACCTATCCTGTGGTGAGAAACACCGCATCCCGGGTGTTGGGACTCTTCGCTATCCCCCTCCTCCGCCGGCACTCCGAAGACAGCCCCCCGTGAGGGCGGCCAAAGCTCGGGGTCCTGGGTTTCTATGGCGACACGCAGGCGCTCCGGGAAAGGGCGAGGCGCGATGTCTGGCGGGAAACACAATTTGCCGGTAGTGGCTGTCTCTGTTTCCCATCACTTCTGGTGAGCGACGCGGCGCGGACTCTGCCCTACCCCGAGTCCTTGCAGCTGGTGTGCCCCGGGACGCTGCGTGGAGCGGGGGTGGGAGGCCGCGGACCCCAGCTCCCCGCCTGGAGCCAGGGCGCCCTCCGGGTGGGGCCAGCGGCCGGTGGGTGGCCGGAGCGTGTCCTTCCGGGCCTGGGCCCGGACCCCGACCCAGCCGCAGGCTTCTCAGCCGCGTCAGGTGACCTGAGAGAACGCGGAAGGCTCCCCAAAGAAGGAAAACCCACGCCAGAGGAATTATAAACTCTGATCCTAACAGAAGCACTAAATGGGTCTCTCTCGTTTTCTTCCTTTTGCCTGCAGGACTGTCAAATCCCAGTACGCCGCTGATTTGTTTCTAAGTCCGCTTTCTGGAGCGGTATTTCAAATGACCAAAGAGAGTGGTAGGAAGCCTTGACTATTATGTCTCTTCCGAAAACGTCCTCCACATTGCTAACCTCCATGTTAACACCTGAGGGCAAAAAGTTAAAAGTCTCTGCATCCAAGGAGGAGACAGGTAAATTTCTTCAAGGATCCCGCAGACACAAGTAACCATGGCCGTGGACGGAACTCAGTCCCTTCCCCGTTCGGCTGAATTTTGAGATTTCGGGATACCTTAATTGGTTTTGTCTTTCTAATACACTTGTTTCAACAAAATCAAAAGCCATTCCTTTTATAGTACTTTTGAGTCAGAGCCTCAGTACGCCACCTAAAGACTGTACTTTTCTTTTTAGATTTTTTTTTAAATGTTATTTTTTTAAATATTTTATTTATTTATTTGACAGACAGAGATCAGAAGTAGGCAGAGAGGCAGGCAGAGAGAGGAGAAGCAGGCTTCCTGCTGAGCAGAGAGCCGGATGCGGGGTTCCATCTCAGGACCCTGAGACCATGATTTGAGCTGAAGGCAGAGGCTTAACCCACTGAGCTGCCCAGGCGCCCCTGTACTTTTTTTTAATATGATGAGTTTTATATTGTTTTAAAGCTTCTTTTTAAAGGTTTATTTATTTTAGAGAGAGAGAAGAAGTGGGGGGAGCGGCAGAAGGATAGGGGGAATACGCAAGCATAGTCCCCAGCCAAGTGCAGAGTGCAACGGCAGGGCTGGATCTCACCACCCTGAGATCATGACCTGAGCCGGAATCCAGGGCCATATGCTCAGTGGACTGAACCACCCAGGCGCCCCTAGTTTTATATTCACCCTATTTTTAGTTCCAGTAGTTGCATGAAACTTTTTTTTTTTTTGTACCTGGGCTCTGACTTTAAGAAACCAGTTTGTATGAAGTTTTAATAATTATTCTAAATGACAGTGATTCCTTAAGATTTTCATTCATATAGAGATAAGTGCAGGTCTGCTCTAGAATAAGAATCAGCTAGACTCATCCCTACTCCCATTATGCCAAAACTCCCTTTAAGGGGAGACTGTGCTAAAGCCCCACCCAGCTTTTTTTTTTTTTCCCCTTCCTATTTCTTGTGATATTCTACCTCCATTTCAAACATTCAAGAGATAAAGAGATTTGGTAATGGGAACTTTAGAACTTTTGCTGGTGAACAGGGAAGGCATGCTACCTCCTTATAGAAATTAATGATGAGGGAGCAGAAGGCAAGCTGGGGCAAAGTTAAGCTGACACCGGAAACCCTCCCAGCACGTACCTGCTCCTGGGTGGGATGTGTGTGACACTCTTCAGATACTGCTGGCTGCCCTAAAGCCAAGTGAAGGGAAAAACAAAATGGTTAACTAACAGAGATCATAGTCCCGCCAGACAGGAGTCTCCATCATTTTACCAGTGTCTTAGTGATTTACAAGGAAAAAGCATTTGTATCAATAGTGTAACTTTCAAAGACACATAATTCAATTTTCTGGAGTCCTAACATCACCCTCTTCCATGAGTGACGTGGGAAACAGAGGCAGAAGGAAATGTAAACAAAGTTAAGTTTCTTTACCACCTGCTACTTATTGACAGAAAGTTGTAATAGAGTATAGCATTCCTCCAAAAACCTCCCCAAACCGACTTAATGTTAATGCCTTACTAGAAGAAAAACACTATAACTCAGCATTAGCCAGGCCTCCAGTATCCTATAAATCTTTAGCATATCAAAGTCCTTTGGACACCTCCCTTTTTCCTTACCTCCTCCAAGTCCCAAGTATATCATCAGCCATTCCTCGAAACCCCAGTGCAGCCGCTCTTTCTGCCCATGGGTCCTGTCCCCGTGCTTTAGTACAATCACCTTTATTGCACCAAAGACCTCTCAAGAATTCTTTCTTGGCTGTCAGCTCTGGACCTTATCAACATTCCAAAAATATGTCATTAACATAAGCCATACTTTGTGGGGGCACAGATTAGTGGAGAGTGATATAAGCATCAACCCACTCTCCTTGACTTCACGGGAGGCCTTTTCCTGTTTGTCCCCATTCCCTATCTTTACAACAACTCTGCCCTCCTCAGGCTGAACAGAGCACTCTCCGTACGGTTCTTACTCTGCCGCTCGCTCGGATTATTCCACTCTCTTCATTTCCAACAATCCTCATTCTGCTTTTACTCTTAAACCCGACTCAGATCCCTTCCACTGTAGAAATGCCCCAATTAAATCAGTTCTTCTCACCTTTGAATTTACATAGAAATAATTACTAAATCATTTGACAGTTTTGAGGAGAGGTTTCTTTTGTCCTTTTCACATCAGAGGGGAAATAGGCATTCCCGTCATGTTAAGGCTGTTCCACTTAATTGAGCAGGTGATGTGAATTTAATTTTCGATTTTGAATTTGGAATAATGGAGGTTCATCTCTGTGCCTCGGTTTTTGAAACTGTGATGTTAGTGTGAGGAAGGAAGGCAATATGAGGGGTTTTTTTGTTTTTTTTTTGTTTTTGACTAGATGATGTTCAGTATTTAAAATATTATTACTAATCTTGGCAACCAGAAGCAGTGTTTGCTCTGATAGAAACGTACAGGTGGTATTGATGAGGCAGCCTGGGAATCTCCAACTAACTACTGCACCAAGTTTTTCTTTCCTGTTACTTTCTTAGGACTTCCTGAACTAAAGGAAAAAAAAAATATGGTGGATCGTTCAAAACCCCTTCCTACATCCCTTCAGAATGAGTTCATCCCTGAGGAAGTTCTTCTTTCTCTGACCTATGCCGCCAATGCTGGTCCTTGTCCTGAAAACTTACTGCCCCCTAAGAAAACTAAAACCCCAAAAGTGAGTATATACCTATACAAAGTACATGGGAACCCATCTCTTTGGTATCCAGTTCATTAGGTATTTACTGAGCATGTTCTTTGTTAAAAATCAAAATTCAACTGAGTAAATTAGAGGAGCTAATTGGCTTTATTCAACAATTCATGAATCAGACTGCATCCCATATAGGAAGTAGAAAGGAGTTCTGAGAAGTTGTACAAAATAGAGGTTTTTTGTTTTTTGTTTTTTGGGTTTTTTGGCAGAAAAGGGCAGGGACAAGGATGTCATAAACAAAAGAAAGGATTATTTTGGGCAAGGTCATCTTCTGGGGAAGGGTGGGAGCCTATCAGGCTGATTACCTCCATTGTGCTGATCAGGAACTTCCAGCTGATTGGCTTAAAATGCCACTCCTGGGAGATGCTAGAACTGCAATTCCAGTTGCTTTGCTGATGTGAGGCTTAGCACAAATGCCTTCAATTTGGGCTTGGTTCTTTTTTAATGTTTTATATATATATATATATATACATACATACATATATATATATATAGTTTTCTTTTTTAAAGATTTTTATTTATTTACTTGACAGAGAGAAATCACAAGTAGGCAGAGAGGCAGGCAGAGAGAGAGGAGGAAACACGCTCCCCGCTGAGCAGAGAGCCCGACGTGGGGCTCAATCCCAGGACCCCGGGATCATGACCTGAGCCGAAGGCAAAGGCTTTAACCCACTGAGCCACCCAGGCGCCCTATATATATAGTTTTAAGATTTTATTTATTTGACAGAGAATGCACAAGCACAAGCAGAGGGAGTGGCAGGCAGAGGGAGAAGCAGACTCCCCAGCTGAGCAGTGAGCCTGATGTGGGGCTTGATCCCAGGACTCTGGGATCATGACCTGAGCCGAAGGCAGAGGCTTAACCAACTGAGCCACCCAGATGTCCAGTGTTATGTATTCCTTTTTTTTTTTTTTTAAAGATTTTATTTGTTTATTTGACAGAGAGAGAGATCACAAGTAGGCAGAGAAGCAGGCAGAGAGAGAGGAGGAAGCAAGCTCCCTGCTGAGCAGAGAGCCCGATGCGGACCTCGATCCCAGGACCCTGAGCTGAAGGCAGAGGCTTAACCCACTGAGCCACCGAGGCGCCCAAGTGTTATATATTCCTGATTGTCTTTCAACATACTTTAAAATTAATTTCCTAGAATGAAAACTAAAATCATTTGCGCTAGTGTTTCCAAGGAAATGCTATTTAAAATGTGATTTACCTAAGTGATCATTATTACTACTCTCAGTCTTGATATTTTTCTTTCACTTTTGAATTGTCCCAGTTTCTGTTTTTCTGCATAGTATTGATTAAGCATTCTGCTTTCTCTTTTTTCCCATGGACTCTCCAAATGCCTTTCCAAAGGATTAACAGATTTCATTTGACTAGAGCTCCCTCTGCTGTGTATTCATGTATTTGCTTTTTCTTAGGGCACTCTTCCGCGTCAGACTGACCAGGTCTGGTATCACCCTATTCGAAGAAATAAGTTCAAATACCTGATTGATCATCCTGTTTCCCTAACTGGTGCCGGAAGGTAAAGAAGGCAGATGGTAGGGAGGATGCTGATGAATAGAGTTGTTTTCTCATTTCTTGGGGAGGGGCACAGTTGGAAAATTACAGAATCAAAGATTTTATTTTATTTTAATATATTTTTTAAGATTTTATTTATTTATTTGAGAGAGAGAGAAAATGAGGGAGAGAGAGAGCATGAGAAGGGGAGAAGCAGACTCCCTGCCGAGCAGGGAGCCGGATGCTGGACTCAGTCCTGGGACTCCAGAATCATGACCTGAGCCGAAGGCAGTCACTTAACCAACTGTGCCACCCAGGTGCCCAGAATCAAAGATTTTAAATTTGAAGTTTACAGTATCTTTGTTGATCAGAATACAATCTGAAGAAGACACAAGACCATCCTTCTGTGTGTAGGATTATTAACTCTACTGGCTTTTGGTTTGTTTAGATTTGCTTTTTTGCATGCCTTTGTGTCCTTGTCCACTTGCTCCTCTGTCCCTTGTTGTACCCTAGTAAAAGGGACAAGATCCGAGAGGCAGAGTGCCTTAGAGTGCCTCTTTCATCTGCACGTTTAAGAAGAGTGAGGTAACATAGCTTCATGAAAACCTTGAAAAGCAAGTGCTTACTCCTTGGTTTTCTTCTCCACCTTTAGATCAAATCAGCAAATACTATTTGTTGTTTTTACGTCATCCCTAAAAATATTCTGACTGTCCCGGGTTTCCCTGTGAAGCTTGTGACCAGCTCATTTTCTATGTGTAGTCTGTTTATCACTTGCACGCCCCTCATGAGATATTGTTTCATCTGAAAGCAGTAATATGTAATATTATCACACATTAATGACACATTAATTTGGAATAATAAACATTAACACATGCGTAGGTTATTTAATCTTTCTGAGTTCCATTTTTTTCATCTGTAAAAAGGGAATAATAGACTTAGTCCATTTTGTGGACCTTCCAGGGTTATTGTAAAGCACATATTTTAAAGGAGATAATGGACAGTGCTATGTATGTATGTATGTTTGTATGTATGTTTGTATGTAAGCTCTACACCCAACGTGGGTCTCAAACTCATGACCCTGGGATCAAGAGGCATGCGCTCCACTGACTGACCAGCCAGATGACTCTATACAGTGCCATTTAAATATAAGTTATTATGGGGCACCTGAGTGGCTCAGTGGCAGCTAAAGCCTCTGCCTTTGGCTCTGGTCATGATCCCAGGGTCCTAGGATCGAACCCCGCATCGGACTCTCCGCTCAGCAGGGATCCTGCTTCCCCCTCTCTCTGTCTGCCTCTTTGCCTACTTGTGATCTCTGTCTGTCAAATAAATAAATAAAATCTTTTTAAAAAGTAAATAAATATGTTATTATTACTTAGCTATGTCTCAGTGCTAGAAAAAGTGGCAGGAAATTGGGCTATTTTTGTGTCCTGGGGCTTAAGTGCCAAAGTATCTGTATTGTATTTTATAAATCTAAATCATGGTTATAATTATCACTAGTTATGATTAGTAGTTATGAGATGTTTGAAGTACTTTGAAAAAAATAATAAGCTATATCTGAATACAGCAGTAACCCAGTATTAAAGTTTTAATGTCAAATGACTTCTGACTTAGAATTTTGAAACTGTGATCTGTATTGTGGTAAACAGGGTAATGGCCTCCCTACAAAATGTTCTCACTATACCTCAGAACTCGAATATAGAATGTATGCCTTACGTAGCCAAGGAGACTTTGTGGATGTGATTAAATTAAGGAACACAAGATGGTGAGATTAACCTGGATTCTTGGGATGGGCCCAACCTAATAGCCTGAGTCTTTAAAGTGGAAAAAGAAGGAAGTTGAACAGGTCAGAGATGGAGGAAGACATGGTGGAAGTGTGAGAGAGAAGGAATTCAGCCTACTATTACTGGCTTTGAAGATGGAGGACGGGAGGACACAAGCTAATTACTACTCTTGGCTTCTAGAAGCTGGGTATGGCCCTCAGCTGATAACCATCAAGGAAACAGGGAACTCAGTCCTAGAACCGCAAGGAATTGAGTTCCTTTAACAACTCCAGTGGGCATGGAAATGGATCTTCCCCTAGAGCATTCCAGAATGGAATACAGCCCTGTCAACACCTTGATTTTAGCCTGCGAGTCCTGTGTTGGACTTCTGACCTACAGAACTATAACATAATAATTTGTGTTGTCTAAGCTACTAAATTTGTGATAATTTTTATGACACCAGTAGAAAATTAATACACATGTATAACTAATGGTATTTATAACAAGAGGTAACTTGTCTGGCAACCTTAAATATTTAGAGCACAGCAGTAAAATATAAAACAACCCAGCAATAGCCTCTGAGTAATACTTTTCGACAGCTTTATCAGTCAGAATTCAGTGCAGAAAGTAAAAACTATTTTAAGCGGTAAATCAAGTGTTTACAAAATTCTTGGAAGGGCTAGAGAAGCAGGTATGTAGCAATACTTTTGGGAATAACTCTCAGAACAGGGTGGAATTAACCTACTATCCTGTTACCTCCAAGGCTGTCACTAGAGTTCAGGAGTTTGCCCACTTAAATAGACATTTGTCCAAAGAAGGTAAAAATGGGCGATATGCACATAAGATGCTCAACATCATTAGCCATAAGCAAATGGAAATCAAACCTGAAAAGATACTATTTCTCACCTACTAGGATGACCAAAGTCAACAAGCAGACAATAACAAGCATTTGTGGGGATATCGACATCGGAAGTGTCATACGTTGCTGGTGGGAATGTAAAATGGAGCGGCCTCATTGGAGAATAGTTCCACAGTTCCTCAAAAATTTAAACATAGGCTTACCATATGCCCCAGCACTTCCACGCCTAGGTTTATACCCAAGAGAATAGACAATATGACTGCACAAAAACTTAGAATGAATATTCATGGAAACATTATTCATGCACCCCAAAAGTGGAAACAAACCAACTGTCCATCAGTTGATGAAAAAATAAACAAAATGGCATATGCAGTGGAATATTCTTCAGTCATAGAAAGGAATGAAGAAGTACAGATACTTGCTACAACACTGATGAACCTTGAAAACATGCTAAGTGAGAGAAGCCAGTCATAACAGGGCACATGTGTGTTTCTATTTATATGAAGTGTCAGGATAGGGAAATCCATAGAGACAAAAAGTAGACTGGGAGTGGGACTGGCGAGAAGAGTGGAGAATTACTGCTGATGGGTAAGGGTTTTTTTGGGAGGGGTGATAAAAATAATCTGGAATTAGATGCTGGTGATGGTCATACAACTTTGAATATATTGAAACTTGTAAATTGTGAATATAATAAAAACTTGTAATATACTAAAAACTTATAAACTGTACTCTTTAAAAAGATGAATTTTATGGTATGTGAATGATATTGCAATTAAAAAAAAATCCCTTAACTGTGATCCAAGGATCTGGAAGCTGAAATCAAGAAGCTGTCCCTGTGGTTACTGCACTGCCCCTATGGACTGGGGTAGCTGGACAGTGCATTCTGGAATGTTTCAGGAAAACCACTTTTTCATGATGATGTTGGTAGAATCAGCCAAAGACATGGCAAGAAAGCGACTCCCGTTTTACTTCTACCTCTGAAATCTTGCAAAAGTGCATCTACTTGCAGAAGTTAGTTCATACCCAGGACCCTAGCTTCAAGGGTGTCTGGGAAATGCTTTCCAACCATTGAACTCAAAGAAGGACCCAACACACACCAGGGCCTGCCATATTCCAGTACTGACTTAGGTGTCAGAAACATAACCAGACTGTCCTCAGGACACTTCTAACTTCATAAGTCATTACTTGAATTGTCAAGAAAAGATTATATTGTGTTACATACACTCTGCTTAAGGAAGCTGTCAAGTTTTAAATACATTTTAGAAAGACAGTGTTTTTTTTTTAAAAAGCATATCTCAGCTATTTAGAAAATCAATCTCTCTGAAATACCTCATTCCTTGACATCAGATAAAAAACATGCTTATGTATGAACATAACCAGTGATTATTTGAAGAAAAATTTGAAGTATGAACTCAGTGTAATAAACTGGGGGATCCAGTTTTTGTGTTATGGCTAGGAATCAAAGTTTGTTTTTTATTTTTGTTTTCGTAAATAAAAATAGATTTTCCAGGGGCTCCTGGATGGCTCAGTGGGTTAAGCCTCTGCCTTCGGCTCACATCATGATCTCAGGGTCTTGGGATCAAGCCCTACAATCTGGCTCCCTGCTTGGTGGGGAGCGGCTCCCCCCGTCTCTCTGCCTGCCTCTCCGCCTACTGTGATCTCTGTCTGTCAAATAAATAAATAAAATCTTAAAAAAAAAAAAAAAGATTTTCCAGAGGAGTAGAGACAAGTGATTTACCACAAGAATTTTATCAGAAATAAAACATTAAAAAAAAAGATTTTATTTAATTAGTTGACAGAGACAGAGATCACAAGTAGGCAGAGAGGCAGGCAGAGAGAAAAGGAGAAGAGAAAGCAAGCTCCCTACCAGGTAGAGAGCCCAATGCGGGGCATGTTCCCAGGACCCTAAGATCATGACCTGAGCCGAAGGCAGAGGCTTAACCCACTGAGCTACTCAAGCGCCCTAAAACAGATTTTTTTTTTTAAAGACTTTATTTATTCATTCGACAGAGATCACAAGTAGGCAGAGAGGCAGGCAGAGAGAGAGAGGAGGAAGCAGGCTCCCCACCAAGGAGAGAGCCCGATGCAGGGCTCGATCCCAGGACCCTGGGATCATGACTTGAGCTGAAGGCAGAGGCTTTAACCCTCTGAGCCACCCAGGGGCCCCAAACAGATTATTTTTAAATGAGATTTACATACCAACACATAAACCAAATGTTCCCTCTAAAAATAAAGATAAGAAAATAAAAATCAAGTAAGATAACTGATTATTTTTATTTTTAAAAAGGTTATTTATTTACTTGACACAGAGAGAGAGATCACAAGTAGGCAAAGAGGCAGGCAGAGAGAGGGAAGCCGGCTCTCTACTGAGCAGAGAGCCTGATGTGGGAGTTGATCCTAGAAACCTGAGACCATGACCTGAGCCAAAGACAGAGGCTTAACCCACTGAGCCACCCAGGCGCCCCAATAATTTTTGTAATAGAAATATAAGAGGGCCCTAGAATTATTTTTTGAGAAAATTTGACAGTTACCAAACCAACATTTCCTTTACAAAGATGTGTATGTGTGTATATGTATATGTATGAACCATTCATTATTTTTATATAACAAAGTTGTATTGGCCAATCTCTAGTAGGAGTTATTGGTGTGATAGTGACTAATGTCCCATAACCCTGAGAGCAAGTTTTTAAAAACATAACTTTATTAAAAAAAAACTTTATTGAGATAGTTTTGACAAAAAAAAATTGTGTATATTTAAAGTGTACAACTTAGTGTTTTCGTAAATGTATACATTGTAAAAAGAGCACCACAATCAAGCTAAATGACTTATCTGTCACCTCTATATAGTTACCATTTGTGTGGATTCGTGTTTGCGTGTGTGTGATAAGAAGATAAATTTAAGATCTGTTCTCTTAGCAGATTTCAAATATACAATACAGTATTGCTAACTATCATCATTGTGCTATACATTAGATCTCCAGAACTCATTCATCTTGCATAACTAAAACTTTGTACTTTTTGACCAACATCTCCTCATTTCCCCTTTTCTCCCCATGCCCTCATCTGACATAAATGAAATCATACAGTATTTTTCTTTGTCTGGCTTATTTCACTTGGCATAATGTTCTCCAGCTTCATCCATGCTGTCACGAACGGCAGGATTTCCTTTTTAAAGGCTGAATAACATTCTGTTCTCTCTATATATACACATTTTCTTTATCCAGTCATTCATTAGTGGACATTTAGGTTGTTTCTCTGTCTGGGCTCTTGTGAATAATGCGGCAATGGACAAAGGAGTGCAGATATTTTGTCAAGATCTGGATTCATGGGGTGCCTAGGTGGTTCAGTTGTTAAGTGTTTGCCTTTGGCTCAGGTCATGATCCCAGAGTGCTGGGATCAACACCCACGTCAGGCTCCCCACTCGGCAGGAAGCCTGCTTCTCTTTCTCCCTCTGCCTGCCACTCCCTCTGCTTGTGCTCTCTTTCTCTGTCAAATAAATAAATAAAATCTTTGAAAAAATCCAGATTAATTTCCTTTGGATATAAACCCAGAAGTGGGTTTGCTGGGTCATATGGTAGTTTTATTTTATTTTATTTTATTTTTTTTGAGGAAGCTCCATTCTATTTATCATAATGGCTATACCAGTTACAATTGGGGGAGGGGCAGAAACGTGAAAATCATATGCAGTAAGTGGTGTGATTATAACTGCTATAGGAAGGTGAATCTGGCAGAAGTGTGTAGAGTATACTAGAGAGAATTGAGAATCCACATAAAAAGTAGGTATAGCTTGGACTAGTGATTTGGCATTGGCAACAACAGGGTCTGCTAGAATGCTATGAGGGTGACTATAAAATTAATAAATGTTAGTGGTGGATGAGAATTTAGGGCAGTGGTTGGGAAGAAGTCAACTATGTATGCTGAGCTTTTAATCGATAGAGTGGTGGTACTTCCTGACAGAATTAATGAGGATAGGAGGGTGGAGAGTTAGAATGGAGGGAGGCTTATTCAGAGGTATGTAGAGGTAACAAATGTGATCAGGTGAGATTTGATGGCATTGCTCAGAGAGAAAGTGTAGGGTCAGGAGACAGAGAGGTGAGGCTGTAATGTTGCAGAGCATTTCCATTTAGTAGACAGGAAGTCACAGAGGAGTTCAAGAAGGAGAGGTTGAGGCAAAAGAACTAGGAGTCCAGTAACACAGAGGATAGAGGAAAGGAGAGTGGTTTTAGAAAGAAAGATGGGCAACCCTGGGAAATATTACAGGGAAATGGTGGAAGAAAGGAACTGATGACTTAGCAGTAGAAGTCATCAGCTTTCTAGAGTGGTTTCAGAAGAGAGGGATGGAAATTAGATTGCAAGGAAATTTCAAGAAATCTGATTAACGTCTGATTAAGACAGTGAGAGATCTGATAGATCCTGATAACATGACAGCCATGCATGGTCAAGGAAGGACTTTTAGAAGGAGAACAGATTTGAGTTACAGATCAAAGTGACTATTCCAAGGAGGGGGAAGCAAACAGAGAGTAGATTGGTGGAACGAGATCCCAAACGAGATGTGGATAAGGATGAAATCAAGGGCGTCAGTGGAGGAAATAACCCTGGGGAAGAGAATACATCTTAACCTGAGGTTGACGGAAGGGAAAGGATTTGTGATGTGAAGGAGAATGATGAGGTGGAGAAGAGGGAGAATGGGGAGGGGGTGGCTCGTGTTTAACGCCTCTGCTCTTAGTGAAGCATGAAGTAAGGAGACTGGTTTTGTGCCCCGTTTTACCCACTAGAAGGATGTGTGTGGATCTTACCCACTCTTATCCAGTAGCCAGACAGAAAATTTATTTTGTAAATATATTTTTCTTATTTTTTAGGGATATTTCTTTCCTGTATGATGTTAAATATGTTAAAGGTGAGGCCAGGGAGAGTTCGCTTTGTCCCCCACGCTTGGAACGATCATTACAGTCACATGATGGTGTCATTGTGCCTCATAAGGTAAATAAAGTATTTGACAAATAATTTCCTCTCCTAATTTTTAAGTCATTTCCTTAAAAATATAAAGCAATGTTGTACTGTAACTACAACCTGTATTACTTGTCAGTTTTCGTAGCACTTTCTGATTATGTCTAGGAAAGAGTGTTTAGTGGGAAAGGATCTATGATACCTCTTTTTAAGCCATTTTCCAACAACAGTTACCACTTTAATCTAGAAAATACAGTATAGGAGATTAGATTTTTTTTTTTTTTTAGGTTTACAGTTCAAAGTTGTAGAATTCTTAGTTTTGGCATGTTGCTAAGGTAAATTTAAAATTCCTATTGAATTTTATGGGGCGCCTGGGTGGCTCAGTGGTTGAAGCCTCTGCCTTCGGCTCGGGTCATGATCTCAGGGTCCTGGGATCGAGCCTCACATGGGGCTCTCTGCTCAGCAGGGAGCCTGCCTCCTCCTCCTCTCTCTCTCTGCCTGCCTCTCTGCCTGCTTGTGATCTGTCAAATAAAAAAAAAAAAAAAATTTAAAATTCCTATTGAATTTTAAAGAGTCAATGGATTAACTGAATATGTGGGACATGTGTGAATAACAGTAAACACAAGATTGTTCTTTAATTCATGGTTATTTTTAAAATGTGTGCTGAATGTTTTTTTATTACATCCTATGGTCCATATTACTAATGCTATTAGTTCTATAATCAAAACCTCTTAATAAATAGCATCCCTGTGGGGGTAGGAATGTTGATTTATGCAATTCAACTTTTTTTCATTTACTAATTTTTCATTCTTGTCCTTCTTTTTTTCTTTTTAAGACAAAGAAACTAACAGATACTTTGGTTCCTGAAGAATTTCATATTGTGTCAAATACAGGAGTTTCAGGTTTGGAGTGTTATGATGAGTAAGTACTGTAATATATTCCAGGTAATATGTACATTACAATAAGGAAATATTTGGCCTTCCATCCTAAATTTAAGAAAGGTGTCAAAATGAAAATGTTTTATTGAAAAGAGTTCGGGATTTTAGTGATCAAATTGGTCTCTATCTTTTCCTACTATTTAATTTTCAATTAAAAGTGTATCTTTGTTCTGAATGCTCACCTAGGCCTCCTTAGGAATGGTTTTGGCCAAGGAGACAAAGGAAAGTAGCCTTCTGAGCTGATGTCTCATAAGGCACACTCTAGGGCTTGTGAAGGCTCCGGCCTTCACACTAGTCATCTCCAGTTTTCTTCTTAGGGGATTAAAAATAGGATCTTGCTTGTATGTTCTGAAACAACGTTTGAATGTTTCATAGTGTAAAAAATTAGAACTTTGGACTAAGGTTTTATAATAAAATATCCAGAGGCTGTCACTCTTTACTTTTCCAATACACATGCTGTGGCATTTCCTTATGATGGTGGGTTTCAGAACAATATTTTGTCAAAAAGAACTAAATGGAATTCATTTTAGGGGAACTTTTTATTTTTATATAATTTCAAAATTATAAAACTGTTACAAAAATATGAAAAGCAACTCTCAAGTACTCTCTTTTAACTCACTGAGTATTTACTTTTTGCCTTATTTGCTTTAATACACACATTAAAACTATTCAAGAGTAAGTTGGAGATATGACCCTTTACTACCAAATACTTCAGTGTTTATTTCTTAGAAGCCCACCAGTTATAGATCTTTTTGATGACTTTTTTAGCTTCATTGTATCTTCTCTGTTTATTAGTTAACATTTTACCATATGGATTCATGGATTACTGTTTTTTTCAGTGGGTTATAGTTCTTTTACTATGATTATTTTATGTTAAAAAACTTTTAGATTTGGTCAATGTTCGCTCCTTTGAACTGGTTCTTATATTTTTTGGACCTGTCCCCATGATTCTTTGAGTGTTCCTTTATTTTCTAACTTGGTAAAATTTCCAGGTTCATCTTCTATTTCCCAGCTCCAGCTGTGGAGTGAGCTATGTCACTTCTGTAGGGAGTGCAGATTCCTTCTAGTGGAGAATGGTACTTAGAAGTCAAGATCTGGGTGGTGGGTGTGCTCATTGTGCCTGGGCTATCATTGTTTCTGGTTTCTCTTACTCATTTTTGAGAAACTTTAAATAGTCTTCATAGTCCCTGGAGATTTTCACTGCTCTAAATTCTGAAAATGGACCTTACTAACCAGCTGAGTTCCAGTAGGGGGCAGAACCAAAGGAAATGCTTATTAACTAGGGGAAGAAAAATGTTGCATAAATAATAATGAATTAGAAGGATTACCATGTGATTCTCACTGTGATACTCATTTAGGTGGAAATGGGCACTTTTCAGAGGACAGATTTGGCTGGGAGTTAGGAAAACTGGGTTCTAGTTTTATTGCTGTTGATTAATTTTATAGCCTATTTATTCATTTAACTTTGTTGACTTCAGTGTTTTTAGAACATCCTTCCACCTTTGAAGAGGCATTTAAAAAAATGAATCAAGGAAATGTTCATATTTTCACATATGAGGAATGTTATTAAAACTCCTTTACTAGGGGCTCCTGGGTGGCTCAGTGGGTTAAAGCCTCTGCCTTCGGCTCAGGTCATGATCCTAGGGTCCTGGGATCGAGCCCTGCATTGGGCTCTCTGCTCAGCAGGGAGCCTGCTTCCTCCTTTCTCTCTGCCTGCCTCTCTGCCTACTTGTGATCTCTGTCTGTCAAATAAATAAATAAAATCTTTAAAAAAACACACACAAAAAAACTCCTTTACTAAAAATATTCCAAATATGATAAATGTCATTACATCTATGTCTGTAGTTATCTAGGTGTGATCTTCTGGGTAAAATGATGGACCTTTTCAATTGCCTCCAAGCTTCCTAATTTTATGAGGTCTTAGGTTTATCATGTTGTGATATGTGATAAATAGGCCTGTTAATTTTCTTATGATAATATTTATCTGTCTTATTTATTATAGCAAATATACTACTCTCCTCACAGATAGTGAAAACAGGCTGTTGCTCTTCCCATCCATGTAAGTATGGTTTATTTTTGAAAATATTTCTCAGAAGGAACATAAACACATGAATATATTTATTTATTTTAATATACATATTTATTAATTTACATATGCATATTTATTTATACATATTTATTTTTCTTGTATATATATTATTTACCTTAGTACTTTATTGCACAGAAAATATTAAAATTATAGCAGAAATCCAAGACAATAATTGTCCACAATTCTATCATCTAATCAATGTTTTAAATTTTTACATATTTATAATAATATTTAAGTGCTATAAAATATTTTTTTTTACAGTTTAAAATTTTTTTTTCCTAAAATTTTATTTTATTGTGGGAGGAGCACTTACCATGAGATTTATCTTCTTAACAAATTTTTAAGTTTTCAATACAGTTATCACTGAATCTAGGCACAATGTTGTACAACAGATCTGTTTGCTATAGTCTTTTTTTTTTTCTTCTCTCTCCCTTGTCCCTTTTCTTCACTTACATTGTGAAGTAACCAATATTAACAGCTTGGTATTTATCACTCCATATTTCTTCTATGTTCTTACAATCCTACACACAAAGTATATAGAAATGTTGGAAGGGCGGCGCCTGGGTGGCTCAGTGGGTTAAAGCCTCTGCCTTCGGCTCAGGTTATGATCCCAGAGTCCTGGGATCGAGCCCCGCATTAGGCTCTCTGCTCAGAGGGAGCCTGCTTCCTCCTCTCTCTCTGCCTGCTTCTCTGCCTACTTGTGATCTCTGTCAAATAAATAAATAAAATCTTTAAAAAAAAAAAAGAAAAAGAAATGTTGGAAGGAAGCGTTATTTTCTTTACACAAAAGAGGATCATACTATTTACATTTCCCTTTATCTTTTTTTTAAACTATATTACTGCTATAACCCACTAGATCAGTACATACAGGGCTATGCTTTAAAGTAACATTAATATTCCAGGGGCACCTGGGTGGCTTAATCTGTTGGGTGACCTCCTGGTTTCAGCCCCAGTCATGATCTCAGGGTCCTGGGATTGAGCCCTTTTTGGGCTCCGTGCTCAGTGGGGAGTCTGTTTGGGGGTTCTCTCCTTCTGCCCCTCCTCCAGCTCGCTCTCTCCCTCAAGTAAAAAATATGCCATTAATATTCCATAGTATATACATTTTATATATATTATATTCTTTTAGTCACTTGAGGATGACCTGTTACACCACTTAATTACATAAATTTCTCACTTTAATCCTCTAGGAAACCTAATAAAAGAGTTGAAGTGGTCCAGCTGAATGACGTGATGGATGCTATGCTAGAGAGGGCTGGTGTGGAAAATCAGGAATATACAGGGCCAACCAAGGTACTTGCAAAGTGGTTGAGAGCATGCATTCTGGAGCCAGAATGTCTGGACTGGAATCTTGGCCCTGCAGTTTATTAGCTAGTGACCTTGGGCAAGTCACTTAATGTATTTGTGCTGCAATTTACTCATCTTTAAATAAGAGGTAATAATAATACCAACCTCATAGGGTTGTTGTGGAGATTAAATAACACGTGAATGTAAAGGGCTTAGAATAGTGCTTGGCATGTGGTAAACACTGTATAATTGTTGCTATTATTATTACTACTGCATTTCATTGACTGTAAAGTACCATTGATTATAAGATCTTCATTATTTTATGTACCACTAAAAAACCACTGCCAATTAAACCATGCTTTCTTAGCACTTAAAATTTTTATTTTGTTAATGAAAGCACTCTTTTAATTTTAAAGAGACACAGATAGTTTTCTTTATGAGGGCTCTTTTTTATTTTGTAAATTCTTATTTTTACAGAATTTAAAACTTAAAGTTCAGTATAAAGCATTCCTGTGTAATCTTTATCCAGATTCACTAGTTTACATTGTGCTCTACTTGCTTTATCATTCTCTCTTCTTCTCTACACACCTATCTGTATATGTATAGTTTCTTCTCAACCGATTTGCTGTAAGCTGGTGACATCATGCCTCTTTATCACCAAAAATTTCAGGGTACGTTTCCTATGGATAAGGACATTCTTTTACATATCCGTAATACTCTTATCAAAATTGGGAAATTTAACATTGATGTGATAGAATTATCTATCCATATTCAGAATTCAAATTTTGCCAGTTGTCCCTATAATGGATGTTATAGCTCTTGTCCCCTCTGTTTCAGGATCCAAGGATCACATAATACTTTCCGTTGTCATGTTCCTAGACAACTGTAATCTGAAACAGTTCTTTGCTTTTCTTGACCTTGATATTTGGAAGAGCACATGCCAGTTACTCTGTAGGACGTTCCTCAATTTTCATTTGTCTAATGTGTACTCATGATTAGGTTCAGGTTATGTACTTTTGGTGGGGATGATATAGAAGTGATACTGTGACCTTCTCAGTGCATCATGTAAAGAGGTACATGATGAAGCAGACTTCTAAAAATAATATATTATTTTTGTAGTTATATTTATAAAGAAAAATGTAAGTGAAATAAATTATCAAGGTGTTTCTAAAACATTCACATTCGGCGTACTTACTTCCTAAAGTGCTATTTTACTGATAAGACTGCAATAAATACTGATGATATTCCTTATCTTCTGCCAGATGCACAAACTACTACATATGTTAAGGAAGGAACAGAATATTTACAATACAGTATTTCATGAACTAATTCGACAAGTCAGTGTGGACTGTGCAGATAGAGGAGAACTACTGTCCAAAATCAGGTTAGAGCTATTATTGGAATATCCCGGTTTCCTTTTGAGTTTTATATTAACAATTCTTTTATATCTGCTTTTAAGAAAATAAAAAAAGTTCCCTTCTCTATTCTATTGATAATAAGGAACTGAATTGCATTTCTATTTTCTACAGTAAAAAAAAATAGTTGAGGACTTTCTTAAGATGATTTCTGTTGGAATGTTTGACACCATATTCTTTTTTTTTTTTTTAAGATTTTAAAATTATTTATTTATTTGACAGACAGAGATCACAAGTAGGCAGAGAGGCAGGCAGAGAGAGCGGGGGAAGCAGGCTCCCTGCTGAGCAGAGAGCCCGATGCGGGGCTCGATCCCAGGACCCTGAGACCATGACCTGAGCTGAAGGCAGAGGCTGAACCCACTGAGCCACCCAGGCACCCCTCTTTTTTATTTTTATTTATTTTTATTTTTTATATTTTTTAAAGATTTTATTTATTTATTTGACAGACAGAGATTATAAGTAGGCAGAGAGGCAGTCAGAGAGAGGAGGAGGCAGGCTCCCTGCTGAGCAGAGAGCCCCATGTGGGGCTCGATCCCAGGACCCTGGGATCATGACCTGAGCCAAAGGCAGAGGCTTTAACCCACTGAGCCACCCAGGCACCCCAAGATTTATTTACTTTAAAGAGAGAGAGTAAGGAAGCATGAGTCAGGGAGAGGGGCAGAGAGAGAGGAAGAGAGAGAATCTCAAGCAGACTCCATGCTGAGTGTGCAGCTTGATCCCACGACCCTGAGATAGTGACCTGAGCTGAAACCAAGAGTCTGATGCTTAACCAGCTGTGCCACCCAAGTGCCCCAACACCATATTCTTTTATGATTGGGAGTTTGTCCCAATTCATTTGTCCATTTGTCCATTCATCAGTCAATGATGTCTGTGGAGTATCTACTCTATGTCAAGCATTAAAAGGCTTCATAGGATTGTGGTGAAGTTAAATGAGAGCACAGAAGTAAATGCCTTGTATATATAATTATTATAGATGATCATGATAAATACTATTAAAACTATAATGCTTCTTATGACTGTGGTACTTAACAAAAAGCTGGAAGGAATAGTGTAATTAGAATATTGGGTTCAAATTACATATCTGCAGCTTACTTGCCGTGGAACCACAGGAAGATTATTAGCTCCTCTGAATGTATTTCTCCTGAATGAGAACAAGTAATATAAATTTGCCTTATTTTCCCACTGTCTGATTTATGGAATGAGAATAAATAATATGTTTGCCCTATTTTCCCACTGTCTGAGTTATGGATTTATGGAGATATGAGGAGCAAAGCCATTAATAAGATACTTGTCAAGATTGGATACTAAGGAGTCAGTTCTTGGAACACCTCAAGAGCTGGAGAATGCAAATTGAAATGAGGGTAGGAACAACTGAAGTCTGAGTTGTCAATCCAAGAACGGAGCTGGGAGGGACAGATGAGGAAGCATAGCAAAGGAGCTAGATGACTAATGGCAGATCCAGACTTTCCCCTTAGGAGGCATAGAAATGAGTGGGACTCTTCCACCTGATTTCAGGAGTTAGCCTTTAGGGGCCAAAATAAGGTCAGGTCCAATCCCAAAAGTCTAGACAGAAAGAGACGGGCAGTCCTAAGCTAAGGACTTAGAATAGGGTAAAGTTGGGAATTAAAAATGTAAAGTAGGTGATGGGGTGCCTGGCTTGCTCAGTCAGTAGAGCATGTGATTCTTGATCTCAGGGTGGTGAGTTCAAGCCCCACTTTGGGCATAGAGCTTATTTTAAGTAAGTAAATATATACATACATAAGTAAATAGGAAGTATACATGAATGTGGAATATTCTTTTTTAAAAAAAGAATACAATGTAGGTGAGAATAAGCCATGAGGTTTTAGGCTGATTGTGCAAACATTCACTATGTGTTTGTGGAATGGTGAAACACGGTAGTTCAGAATAATCTAGTGGTCAGCATTTTGTTGTGGTAGGAGATCTTTTGAAGGTCTAGGGCCCACCTTCAATGGGGAAGACTACGGTTGTCCTGAGCTTGGTATCTTAAAGTGTTTTCTCTGCTTCACGAGATCGTTGTGAGGATCCAATAGAAGTCCCTAGGAGATGGTAATACCATGCATGCCTTGGAAATACTTGAGATCAGCCTCTGACTTCTTCTCTCCATTTGCCTGTTACCATAGTTTTCTGCCTCCGGTCTCATTGAGTGCTTTCTGATCTGCTTGTGTGTGTCTCTGCTTTTCATGCAACTGCCTCTGAGGCCTGTTAACAGCAGAGGGAAGTTTTGTTTGTTTGCTTCTTCTTCTTCTTCTTTTTTTTTTTTTTTTAAGATTTTATTTTTTTTTTTGCCAAACAGAGAGAGAGAGTACAAGAAGGGGGAGTGGCAGGCAGAGGGAGAAGCAACCTCCCCCTGAACAAGGAGCCCGATGCGGCACTCAATCCCAGGACCCTGGGATCATGACCTGAGCCGAAGGCAGACATTTAATCAACTTAGCCACCCAGGAGCCCAGAAGAAAGTTTTCATACGCAACAGAGTTTCATAATAATATTTTTTATAGGAGGAAAAATAACTGCCAGATTGAATATGAGCTGAACAAGATTCTCACATTACAAAGAACTAGGGATGCTGTTGCAATCTTTTTGGTTGACGCTATAAATATCTTTGGTTGCAGCAGGCACCTGACTTTTTTTTCAGTTGTTGTTATTTTTATTTTTATTTTTTACAATATTTTATTATGGGAATTTCCAAATATCTGTAAAAAGGGAAAGAATTTTATTTTATTTTGTTTATTTTATGATCTTAAAAAAGATTATTATTTTTAGAGAGTGACAGAGAAAGAGTGCGAGCAGCGGGGGAGAAGGAGAGAATCCTCAAGCAGATTCTGTGCTGAGCAAGGAGCCCAACACAGGGCTCGACTGAGCTGAAATCACTTAACCAATTGAGCCACCTGCATGCCCCCAAATGGAAATAATTTTTTTTAAAAGATTTTATTTATTTATTTGACAGAGATCACAAGTAGGCAGAGAGGCAGGCAGAGAGAGAGAGAGAGAGAGAGAGAGAGAGGAGGAAGCAGGCTCCCTGCTGAGCAGAGAGCCAGATGTGGGGCTCGATCCCAGGACCCTGGGATCATGACCTGAGCCGAAGGCCGAGGCTTTAACCCACTGAGCCACCCCGGTGCCCCCAAATGGAAATAATTTTAATGTGAACGCACAAATACCTACTATCTAGATTCTGCCATTAACATTTTACTCTGCTTTATCACTTGTCTACCCATCCAGCCATTTCATGTATTTCAAAGCAAATTGCTGACGTCAGTGTATTCCCCCTAAACACTTTGTCATGTATATCATTACCAGACAGAGTCCTTTATTTGCCTTTTTTCCATTTTCAGTAAAATTTACATGTATCGAGAAACACAAATCTTGTCTGCCTTTATTGACTTTTGACAAACACAAACTCTTAACGAGATGTGGAGGCTTACCTTCCCCCCACAAAGTTCCCTAATGCTCTTTCCTCCCTTCTCCATATACAGTTTCTTTCATTATTAGCATCTGTTATTAATGTGGCATGCATGATACACTCTGATATCCTATGGTTAACTTAAGTCCATAGGTTACATTATGGTTTATTTTTTTGTGTTGTATTCTATGGCTTTTGACAAATGCATATTTTGCACATTTTTCAATCATAAAAAGGAATGAAGTATTGATACAGATATAACAAGGATAAACTCTGAAAACATACTAAGTGAAAGAAGCTAGTCACGAAAGGTTCCAGTATTGTAAGATTCCATTTATATGAAATGTCCAGAAGAGGCACATCCAGACAGAAAGTAGATTAGTAGTTGCCAGGGGCTGGGAGAAAGAGAAAGGAAGAGTGATTGCTAATAGGTACCATTAAGGATTTTTTTTGGGGGGTGATGAGAAAATACTCTGGAATTAGTGCTGATAGTTGCACAACTTTTTGAATATACCAAACAGTATTATATACTTTAAAGGGTGAATGTTATGACATATAAATTATATCTCAATAAAAAATTATAAAGTGTTCACAGTCATTTCATCACTGTGATTCTTCATTTGCACATATTCCTTTGTGTATCAAATTTCACCTACTAAAAAAATTTAACAGCTACTTTATATAAATGTAATCTGCTTTCCTATAAATTTACCCATTAACCCTCATTTTGTACTGTGAAAATACTCAGAATAACTTGGTTCTTCCTTTTACCTTATAGCTCTTTAAATATTTGAAAATAGCCATTTTTGTTTTCCCTGTTATGCATTCCCTTATTCAGGCTAAATATCCCCAGTTTTTTCAAATCTTCTTGGTGAAATATACTATATGTGGGAAGCACGCTAATTAGTCAGTGTCGATTTCATGCAGTATCACCATCATTACAGAACAGTTCCATGACCCTGAACCCCCCCACCTATCACCTTTCTTTTTTTTTTTTTTTTAAAGATTTTATTTATTTGACAGAGAGAGAGAGAGATCACAAGTAGGCAGAGAGGCAGGCAGAGAGAGGGGGAAGCAAGCTCCCTGCTGAGCAGAGAGCCCGATGTGGGGCTCGATCCCAGGACCCTGAGATCATGACCCGAGTTGAAGGCAGAGGCTTTAACCCACTGAGCCACCCAGGCGCCCCCACCTATCACCTTTCATCCCTCCTCCATTCCCATTCCTTTAAACCCACAGAAACTACTGATCATTCTGCAGTCTCTATACTTTTTCCTTTTCCAGAATGTGATCTAGTTGGGATCATTCAGCAGGTAGTCTTTTCAGACTGGTTGCTTTACTCACACCTCAATTTTAACTGCTGAAATGTTTTCTGACCATTATTTTGTAGAATTCACTGAGTTGTGAGCATCATATCATTGCTTTCGAGCAATTTGATTATAATACACCTTGGTGTAATTTTCTTCATATTTCTTGTGCTTGGTGTTCATTGAGCTTTTTGGATTTGTGAGTTTATGTTTTTCATCAAATATAGGAGTTTTTTGGCTAGTTTTT